TTCCTCGGAACACAGGCCCTCGCCTCTGAATCGTCCGTACATCGCAGCCCAGTGACGAGGGCAAACTCAAATATGGAGAACGTGGCTACCTTGCCCCCAAGATCAAAGTGGAGAGAGTCTTCGTCAATTGGCTTCAGCAAGCGACATAACAGGGCATCGAGCAGCTGCCCAGAACACTGTACATCACGCAACGAATACAATGGTATCTGCGTGATCGTCGTCCAGCAAATCCAATACCAAAGCGAAGCTGGTAAAGTTACAATTCGAGGTAACTTTACCAGGGATCTGTCTGACAGCGTCGTCCAGATGATATTCCATCCTGCAAAATTTCAAATATTAGGACCCTATGCAAATAACGTTCGATAAACAAAAATATTAAAAAATATATAGTAACACACTGCTACTAAATGCAATAATCAATCGATAACGGAATAAACAAAATGAATGTACATTATATATATATATATATATATATATATATATATATATATGTATGTATGTTATTTAATATTTAATTATTTCTTTAATTATTTTACTATCACTTATTTTGATATTTTAATTGCTTATTTTAATTTTTTTTTTCTAACAGTTAATTTAGTTATTTATTTTTAATGAAGTTTTAAAACTTATTTTAATTATTTACAAATGTTTAATTATGTATTTAAATTCTTTATAGATATCTTATTTAATATTTCATTTTTTAAAATTAATTTAGTAACACTTGTTTTTAAATGCTTATTTTAATTATTTTTCTAACACTTAATTTAGTTTTTTAATTTTAATGAATGTTTAAATACTAATTTTAATTCTTTACGCATAATGCTTATTTCATATTTACAATTTTATTTTAATTGCTTTTTAAAAAATAAATTTTTTTGCTAATTTACTTTTCAAATTTAATTGCGTATTCCTTTTTTTTTTTTCAAATGTTTTTATATATATATATATATATGTTATTTAATATTTAATTATTTCTTTAATTATTTTACTATCACTTATTTTGATATTTTAATTGCTTATTTTAATTTTTTTTTCTAACAGTTAATTTAGTTATTTATTTTTAATGAAGTTTTAAAACTTATTTTAATTATTTACAAATGTTTAATTATGTATTTAAATTCTTTATATATATATATCTTATTTAATATTTCATTTTTTAAAATTAATTTAGTAACACTTGTTTTTTTTTTTTTGTATAAATTTCTTACCTTCTTCAGAGGAAAGTGGGTCTCCTGTTTTTCCTTATTTGTCGGTGACTGGGTCGACTGTGCTACAGTATTTTCCCGTCTCTTTCGGCCTTGCTTCGTTTTCAAGTGAGGGTAAAATTGGGATTCTCTTCATTTTTTTTGGTTTTCACTGTTTTTTATAATTTTGCCTTTTTTTTCATTGGTCAAAGGCCAGTTTGAAAAATTGGCCGGGTCAACCGGCCAACAGCCACTAATTCCTCGTTTACGTACCAATTTAATTTAATTTTTTTATTTTTTGATAATTCATTTTTACTGTCTCTATTCATTAAAGTAAGACAATAATATAGTTATTAATTTTTTTAGTTAATTTATTTATTTTTAAAAGTTAAATTATTCGAATATATTTTGTAAATGAAGATTTTTACGGTTTATCATATTCTTTAAATAATTTTAGTTGTCATCTTCTATTAGAATAAATGAAATTTCGTTAAGTATTCTATTTAAAGTATTGAATTCTAAAAAAATAAAAATTAAATGGGATGGGGCCCTTGTTATCCATACTCGCCTAGGGTGAAATTCCCCATGCCGTACCCGACTCCAATTCTCAATTAAATAGGTAATCCCCATGCCTGTTCGAGGTAGGGCACCGTAAGTATCAGATTGACGAATTTTTTTGTCATTCCTATCATATGCACAGTTATTAAAACTTACCATTTTTCTTATCTTTTAACCATGCATCCCTTGGTGACTTAAGCCGCTTGATAAATATTATTTATAATTCATTTTTTATTGAACTTATTTTTAATAACATATTCTTTTAATAAAATAATTTTACACATAAATTCCTAATTTTTATTTTTATTTTAACCACTACTCTCAAAAAATTATTTTTCTAAAAATATTAAGTAAATATGTCCAAGAATTTAAGGTAGAGTGTATTCAGTTGAGATTTTTGAAGACTTTGAAGTACTTTTTTTAAGTGATGACTTTTGTGGATTTCGTGAAACTTTTTTAGATTTATATGAAATTAGTGAAAGTTTTTCGTAGACTTCTATAGATTTTCATTTTAAAATTTTTATAGACTTTTGTGGAATTCAGAAGCCTTTTGAAAATTTTCATTTAAAATAGAATTCGCGTAAATCTGATGTGAAATTATCACATACTAGGTGTTAATTCCCACAATTTCTCTTTTCCTTCCCCTTCTTCTTTCAACATAATAAAAAAATAAAAATTTAAATCCTTAATTAAATAAATAGTAATCTCGAAGTCTTGCTCCTTAATATATCAAAGTCTTTCTATCAAAGTGATCTTTTTGCACAGAATTTATTACAAAGACTTTCAAAACTTGTTTAAATTTTAAAGTTTTTAAAATTGATAGTTTTAAAGTTTCTAAAACTGATAATTCTCCTGAATTTGGTATCAGAGCCTATAACAGTAAAAAATTATATAGTTTATGAAAAGAATCGAGTATTTAAATTTAGAAATTTTAGGAAACTATAAAAGAAAAGATAACGTAGAAGCGGCTTCTCTAATCTGTAATTTTGATAATAAGTTTAGACAAACTTTACATAGTGAAGATAAACAGTTAAATAGTATTGTAGACTTACTTGTAAATTTAGGAGAAAATTTAGAAAGGAACAATTCAAATAAAAGAGTAGAAATTTTATTAGAAAATATAAATAAAAATATAAAGATTTTAGAAACTAATCTAGAATATATTAAAAATCAAAATACCGAAATACTAAAAAGAAAATCTAATAATATAGGAGAAACGGAATGTAGTCCTAACTTAGAAAAATTGGAAAGCATAGTTAAAGTATTAAAAAAAGAAAAGTCGACAGATAGTAGATTTAGATAATAAAATAAATAAACTAGAAAAATAGATTTAGGTAAAACAAAAGAACGTAGTAGATTTAAGAAAAGTAAGTAGATCTATGCATAATGGATAAAGAAAAACAAATCGTAGCCAGCAGTAGTAAATTAGTAGGTAATCATTTATTAAGAACATTTAGTAGAAAGTAGTAGAATCCGAAATAAGACTAGAATCTTTAATAGATATA